AACCCCCTAATCGCCCCGAACAACACTATGTTTTGTCCTTATAATAGTGGAGAAAACCTTTCCTGATTCATTTTTACACCTACACTTAAAAGTTAAATATCTCCCTCTAGGCAACCCAACGGCCGCTAATATTTTAACCTTATTAGTTTGGTGTTGAGAGCTTTCATTTGACCCGAACATGTGGCCGTTTTTCGCTCAACAATACACATACCTCCATTGTTAGAAAAACAACTCTTCACAAGTTACATATATCTTAAAATTTTCGATGGTAAGACTGATAATAAAAATGTTTTCAATAGATCAGAAAGATTTATAGTTTCACTTCTTGTTCCCTTGTATAAAACTCAGTACTAAATTCTTCAGGGAAAGTTTCATATAAAGAAACTTTAGTTCTTTGACACTACATTCACCATTGAAAGCAGTAATATTGATAGAATATATCAACAAAAGAGATGAATTCTTCGTTATTTTTGTGCTGCTCTAACAAACAAAAGATCAATGGATAAAGTTTAGATCTTATTTTTCTCTGTATTCATATAAACATTATATCCTAATGTAGTTCAAATTCAAAGTATTTTTCTTTTTTTTTTTTGCATTTAAATTTCTCTTCGTTGTATATCAAGAATAAATTATCGTCATATATATTCAAGACGATCAAATAAATTTAACAAATAAGTATTTACATAAATGTTTTTCTTGATTTAATTCAACAAAAGAAAAGTCTTAATATAATTCAAATTATAACAAGTTTTAATGATATTTTTAAAGAAGAATGTAATTTTCCTGTTGCACACAAAAACAAACTAGCCTATCAAAAAGAAAAAAAAAAAACAAATTTTGTTTCTTAGACATTTGCACATACACATACAAAGATATTTGATCATTGTTATAATCTGTACAAAAAAAAAGAAAACTATATAATAATAGAAAATGTTTTTTATTTTTCCGATTGACTATTTATTCGATCATTTGGTGATGATGATGATGAAGCTCTTGATGGATTATTATTTCCATTATTAAATGTATCATTTGTTGTTAAAGAATTATTTTTATTATTAGTTAATTCTGTTATACGAACTGAAACTCCATCAACTGTTATTGTTGTTGTTGTATGTGTTGATGATGAATTTGATGATGTTGATGATGATGATGACATTGATGAAAGTGAAGATAATTTAATTTTTTTTCTAAAAATTTCTTTGTTTTTTTATTTAAAATGAAATCATATATATATATAAATAATAAATTTACTTTTTTTTTTGTACATCATTTTTTTTATTTCGTTCATTATTTATTATTTTATTTTTTTGATTATTATCATTTGATTGTCGTTGTTTAATATCTTTAGATTTTAATGATTGATATTTAATAGGTTTTTTTTGATCATTTTCATTATTAGATTTTTTATTATTGATTAATATTGATGTTGATTTAGTTGAACGTGATATAGAAGTAATTGTTGGTCGTTTTTTTGTTGTTGATAATTTTGTATGATCATTAATTTTTGATGATGATGATGGTGAAGCTGAACGATATGATCGTGTTGTTGTTGTTGATGATGCTGGAGATGATATACTTTCATTAAAATGATCATTAGGAAATGTTCGTCGTGTATGATTATTATTATTATTATTAGGATGAGTATTTTTACGTTCTTCATGTTGAAATTCTTCATCATCATCGTCATCATCATCTTGAGCATCTGTATCATCACTTGTTGATGCATCTGATGAATAATCATCGTCTGTTTTACGTTTTGATCTTGGTAATTGTTCAATATGATCACTTAATACAAGTTTTGGTTTTCTAAATAAAAATAAAAAAAAAGTATTATCAGACTTCATTATTTAATTTTATTCTTCTTTCAAACAATTGAATTTGTTGTTAGTAGAATGATTGATTTCTAGAATATGAAACATTCAAAAGTGTAAAGAATTATTGAAATCTGCATAGAGAATGTTATTAACGATTGAAAATCTTTTATCATTAGGCTGAATATTATTTTTTTTTTCTTATGATGATAATCTACCCGAAGCGATGGAAAAACGTTATTGAGAACATACTTAATTTAATTATACCTCTAACGAGGGAAAGTCGCCAACTGTTCAATCGCTTTTTAGTCGGAACTATGTGCATCATGTAGGTCCTAATGAGCTATGAATACCCTGAAAAGAGTTCGGGCGGCTAGCTTATTATTGTCGAGATAATGCATTTTTATGGTATTTTTAACTAAGCACAATGCCGTAGTCCCCCTCAGGAACCAGAAAAACTGAGTTTCGAGTTTTGTCTTGAAACTTTGTACAGAAACAGACCTCAGTGAGAGTAGTTTATTGTGAAAGTTTCAGGCCTTTTGGTTGTTCCTATCCTAAGATACAGCTAAAAAGGGTGTTTTTACACTGCTCGTATACCCTCGACAGGTTCCGATGTGCTTATTTCAGAATAGGGGCAACCAAAAGATCTGAAACTTTCAAAATAAGCCACTCTCATTGAGATCTGTTTCTGTGCCGAACGTCAAGTCAAAATTCAAAACTCAGTTTTTTTGGTGCTCCTGAGGGGGACCACGGCGTTCTGCTTAACAATATCGTAAAAATGCAGTATCTCGACAGTAATGGGCTAGCCGCCCGAACTCTTTTCAGGGTATTCATAGCTCATTAGGACCTACATGATGCACATAGTTCTGACTCAAAGGCGATTGAACAATTGGTGACCTTCCCTCGTAAGAAGAGAAGATTTATTTGTGTGTCCGTGAAAATTTTATTGTTCTAATAAAACCATAGTTATCATTTTCATTGTATAGATGTAATTCATTAGATATACTGTTAATCAAACTTTGAAAAAATTTAATATATTAAATTCTTGTTCCAATAGAAGATATCTTTTGATGAAGTTATTCGATTTTTTTTTTCATTTTATTACTTGATTAATAACAGAAAATAAACTATATGGATGACACTTGTGTTTTATTTTAATCCTATCAATATTTTCTAGTATTATATATATATATATCCTACCGAGTAGCTGTTCCTTTTCTTGAATCACACATTTCACATCGAAATGCTACACATGGATTTTTATATGTACACAATGAGCAATCCCATGTTCCATCATTAACAATTACACGTGATCGTTTTGCTCTAATAATAAAATTAAATAGAATGAAAATTCTAATTATTATAAATAATTCTTCTCATACTTCCGATCTGTCATAATTTAAAATACTGATAATTCATAAAAAACAAAAATTTAATTCATCTAAAAATATTCAAACAATATATATATTTTTTTTTTATTTTCTATTTTTTGTCTGAATATTTTTTATTTTTTTCATCATCAACTTTTCTTTTTAAACGTTCTGTATATTCAAGTTTAGCTTGACGATCAGCAGCAAATTGTCGATAACTATCAACACCTTTTGGTATTGTATTAAGAAATTCTTTTACATTTGAATATGTTCCATTAACAGCATTACCCATACGTAATTGCATACCAGAAAAACGTGTATGACATGATTGATCGCAATATGGAGCTTTTTCAGTTAATTTACACATACATAATTCAGCCATTTGAAATTTTGCTGATGTAAATTTTAATGGACTAAAGTCACCTCGCAAATGTTTACATGATTTATCGCAAAATGCCTTGAATACAGATATAATATGTATACAAAAAAAATTTTGTTTTTTTTTTCAAATCGAATTTTTACTTGATGTTGTGCATAACCACATGAACACCAATAATATGTTTTATTAGGAAAAAGTTCTGCTTTAATCGGTTGAAAACCACCAATACGTTTTCGATGATAACTAGCTTCAGGATTTGAACGTGCTTGAAATGATGTTTTTAAAAATTCCCAAAATGGTATACGAACATTCTAAATAAGACAATCCAAGAAAAAGAAAATAAAATATTATTAGAAGGAAAAAATAATAATAAAATAACGTACGCACACGTATTGGTTGTATGATTTGATTAGATTTTACTATTAATCGATTGATATTAGATGAACAATGAAACATTATTATCTAAAATTTACAGAAAATCATTGACATTGAAAAAAAAAAACAGGACTTTGAACAACATATATTGATTTTTTTATATATACATGGCAAAAAGAAGACAGTAAAAAGAAAAGTTATTATTCATATATATATATATATAAAATCATGGCGGTTTATTTATTTTGGTGCTTAAAGTGATGTATTGAACGCTTCTTTAATCATTGTTTTCACATGATTAACAATCGTTGGTGAATCACTGAAGTGAATCTAGTAAAACAAAATAATAAATAAATAAATAAATAAACATATATTAATTCTATACTTTAAATAAATATGGTTGAATATCAGTATATGATGTATCAAAAACTAAATCCAATTCTGATAAATGTGGTGGTTTAGGTACATAATCAGGTTTATTACTTGAATATAAAAAAAAAATAAATAAATTTTATTACTTATCTTCTTACATTATTTCAGTTATTTGAAAGATACGTTCTGTCAATGAATCAGAAAGTTTTTCACGCATGAATTGTCGTTCTAAAAGAAACAAAAAAAATGAAATCATTAGAAAAATAATCTTCACATTCATATATTAAATAAAACTAAAATACCATTTTCACTAGATAATTGCATTTGTTCAATTTTAATAGTCCATATTTCCCATGGAATTTCTTCTGGTTTAAACATCCAACGAGATTTTTTCTTTTGATAAAATTCAAGTGTAATCTATTCAAAAAACAAAAAAAAAATTAATAATAATGATATTTTAATTAATTTTAATTTTTAATTACCTGTCCACTACGATTTGAATCTGATGAACGAAGTTTATCATGAAATTGATTTATTTTTTCAGCTACAGCACGTTGAAGTTCTTGACTAGTTACTTGAAGCTAAAAATATAATAGATTTATAATGTCTAGTTAATTTGTATCTTAGAATCAACTTAAAGAGCTAGTTTTCAAAAATATAAAACTTTGAAAAATCTGTCATGCAAAAAAATAAATAACACGCTTTATAGAACAAACTGAGCCATTGAAAAATTGTTTCACATTTTGAATTATATATTAGAGATAACCGTAGAAGCTAATTCTGAGCACACATTCAGGACGAGTCGCGCAATAGACAGAAGATTGAAAATAAGAAAGCTTATGAAAAACTTTTAATGCAATAATTACTTACTTGTATGTAGGA